TCAGACAAGCATTGAATAGTCCTTAGCACGGGTACTTCCTGTTTGAGCCTAGTCCTCAAATGTGCATTGTTAAAATGCCCTGCTACAATAAATGCAGCCTCAGGATGTGGTTTCCAGTTTGCATAAAGTCCAGTGAAGTTCTTTGAGGGCCGTTGTGGTATCGGCTTGAGGGGGGATATACACGGCCGTGACTATAACCAAATAAAATTATCTTGCGAGATAATACGGTCGGCATTTAATTGTGAGGTATTCTAGGTTGGGTAAACAAAAGGGCTTGAGTTCCTGTATGTTCCTACAATTACACCATGAGTCGTTAATCATGAAAACACACAGCGCCGCCCTTCAGCTTCCTGGAGAGATATTTATTTCTGTCTGTGCGATGAACTGAGAACCCATCTGGCTGGACCGATTGCGACAGAATATCCCCAGAGAGCCATGTTTCCGTGAAACAAAGTATGTTACAGGCCCTGATGTCTCTCTGGAAGGAAATCCTTGCCCTGAGCTCGTCGACCTTGTTATCCAAAGACTGAACATTAGCGAGTAGGATAATTAGAAGCGGTGGGTGGTGTGCGTGCCTCCTTATTCTAACCAGCAGGCTGCTCCGAGTGCCTTTCCTCCGCCGGCGTTGTTTTGGTTCAGCCGCTGGAATCAGTTCAATTGCCCTGGGGAGAGCAAACAAAGGATCTGCCTCGGGAAAGTCGTATTCCTGGTCGTAATGCTGGTGAGTTACCGCCGCTCTGATATCAAACAGTTTTTCCCGGCTGTATGTAATGATACAAAACACTGAGCTAATAATGGTAAAAAAATACATAAAATGACAATAATCGCAAAGTTTCCTAAGAGCTAGTCGCAAAATTGACTGCAAATGCGATTATGCATGTAATGCTTTTATTATAAAAAGGTGCATTTTTAAGATAAAATTCTTCCAAACTTGACTCACATGCTGCTTATGTATGCCAGTTAGGCTCTACATCCCTTGTAAAGCAGATTAATGTGCTTACTTTAGTCATTTGGCCACTTTATCAAAACATATAGCCCTAAGGGCTAGGCTACATGAGGTGTGCGACTGATTAGAAAAAGTAAAAAAATAAAATAATAATAAGGCATTGTTTCTTGCCTTACACTGGGCATCATTAACAAGTGATAGTCTGATGGGTGACAATATTAGCCTATTCTTGATTTAATCTTCTCTTTACATATACTAAATCATATATGTGTGAAATTCGTTTTGATTTAGAATGGACCATTATCATGCACAGTCTCAAAACAGGGGCTGGGGAAAAAATATGTCATCTCTGCACTTAAATAGCGAATGGAGGACACTTTTCCCGTGGTTCATTTTCATGCCAGCCAGGTAGGCTATATAATATATAATATGCCATTTAGCAGACGCTTTTATCCAAAGCGACTTAGTCACGCGTGCATACATTTTTGTGTATGGGTGGTCCCGGGGATCGAACCCACTACCTTAGCGTTACAAGCGCCGTGCTCTACCAGCTGAGCTACAGAGGACCACTATACTCCTGTTGTAAAGAGAAGCAATGTGCTTAATATTAGGAAAGTTGAGAAATAAATATAGTAGGCCTAGCCTATAGAAAGCTGATCCTCCCCTTTTTAGTAGAGGCCATCACTCTGTTTTCTCGCGCAATTGCATAGCCTATAGAAATGTTGCGCAACATGAGCTCTCATTAAGTGTTTGATTAGATTTGCATTGATGTCAGAGTGATTAGAGGGACAATAGAGTGCTGAGTTACCAGGCAGTTAGCAAGTTTAGTAGGCTACTAATGACCATCAGAGCTTTGAGAAGCGTAGTTACCCTGACTAAACGGTCATGTGGAATTTGACTGCCTTCATGACTCGTGACCGCCGGTGTGGCGGTAATACGGTCACCGCAACAGCCATATCCAACACTTTACATGTTGCGTTTATATTTTTGTTCAGTGCATGTGGCCGGTCGGGATGGGTCCGGCTCCAAAAATAGGTAGGCTCTAAAAGAACTGACCCGTGCAGGACTCCTACCATGGAGGTTGAAGGTGGCCCAGAGGTTAGAGGCAGACCTGTAGCCGGAGGGTCGATGGTTCAAATCCCGGAACGGGCACTAAAGTAGGGTCTGAACTGGCAAGAGCAGAACTATTTCTGTTCTGGATCAATAGACAACTGAAATCAACAATGTCATTCAAACACTGGATTTGGCTACCACTTTACGCAACATGTAAAGTGTTGGTCCCATGTTTCATGAGCTGAAATAAAAAAGACCGCAGAAATTTTCCATACACACAAAAAGCTTATTTCTCTAAAATTTGGGGCACAAATGTATTTACATCCCTGTTAGTAAGCATTTCTACTTTGCCAAGATAATCTATCCAACTGATGAAACTGTGGGTTTGCACAACCGAAGAATGTGCACAAACTGTCAGAAACAGTCTCAGGGAAGCTCATCTGCGTGCTCGTTTTCTTCACCAGGGTCTTGACCCAACTGCAGTTCGGCATCGTAACCGACTTCAGTGGGCAAATGCTCACCTTCGATGGCCACTGGCACGCTGGAGAAGTGTGCTCTTCATGGATAAATTCTGGTTTCAACTGTACCGGGCAGATGGCAGAGCGTGTATGGCGACGTGTGGGCGAGCGGTTTGCTGATGTCAACGCTGTGAACAGAGTGCCCCATGGTGGCGGTGGGGTTATAGTAAGGGCAGGCATAAGCTACGGACAACTAACACAATTGCATTTTATCAATGGCAATTTGAATGCACAGAGACACCGTAACGAGATCCTGAGGCCCATTGTCATGCCATTCATCTGCCACCATCACCTCATGTTTCAGCATAATAATGCACAGCCCCATGTCGCAAGGATCTGTACACAATTCCTGGAAAATGAAAATGTCCCAGTTCTTCCATGGCCTTCATACTTAAACATGTCACCCATTGAGCATGTTTGGGATGCTCTTGATCGACAGCATGTTCCAGTTCCCACCAATATCCAGCAACTTCACACAGCCATTAAGGAGGAGTGGGACAACATTCCACAATCAACAGCCTGATTAACTATTTGAAGGAGATGTGTCACGGTGCATGAGGCAAAATTGTGGTCAACCACAATTTTTTTTAAAGGCATCTTTGACCACATATCTGTATTCCCAATCATGTGAAAAACATAGATTAGGGCCTAATGAATTTACTTCAATTGACTGATTTCTTTACATCAACTCAGTAAAATCTTTGAAGTTGCGTTTATATTTTAGTTCAGTGTAATATACAGTGAGGGAAAAAAGTATTTGATCCCCTGCTGATTTTGTACGTTTGCCCACAGACAAAGAAATGATCAGTCTATAATTTTAATGGTACGTTTATTTGAACGCATCATGTCAAAAATGTTATGAATTGATTTGCATTTTAAAATCAGGGAAATAAGTATTTGACCCCCTCTCAAATCAGAAAGATTTATGGCTCCCAGGTGTCTTTTATACAGGTAACAAGCTGAGATTAGGAGCACTCCCTTTAAGAGTGTGCTCCTAATCTCAGCTCGTTACCTGTATAAAAGACACGTCCACAGAAGCAATCAGATTCCAAACTCTCCACCATGGCCAAGACCAAAGAGCTCTCCAAGGATGTCAGGGACAATATTGTAGACCTACACAAGGCTGGAATGGGCTACAAGACCATCACCAAGCAGCTTGGTGAGAAGGTGACAACAGTTGGTGCGATTATTCGCAAATGGAAGAAACACAAAATAACTGTCAATCTCCCTCGGCCTGGGGCTCAATGCAAGATCTCACCTCGTGGAGTTGCAATGATCATGAGAACGGTGAGGAATCAGCCCAGAACTACACGGGAGGATCTTGTCAATGATCTCAAGGCAGCTGGGACCATAGTCACCAAGAAAACAATTGGTAACACTACGCCGTGAAGGACTGAAATCCTGCAGTGCCCGCAAGGTCCCCCTGCTCAAGAAAGCACATATACATGCCCGTCTAAGGTTTGCCAATGAACATCTGAATGATTCAGAAGAGAACTGGGTGAAAGTGTTGTGGTCAGATGAGACCAAAATCAAGCTCTTTGGCATCAACTCAACTCGCCGTGTTTGGAGGAGGAGGAATGCTGCCTATGACCCCAAGAACACCATCCCCACCGTCAAACATGGAGGTGGAAATATTATGCATTGGGGGTGTTTTTCTGCTAAGGGGACAAGACAACTTCAAAGGGACGATGGACGGGGCCATGTACCGTCAAATCTTGGGTGAGAACCTCCTTCCCTCAGCCAGGGCATTGAAAATGGGTCGTGGATGGGTATTCCAGCATGACAATGACCCAAAACACAACGGCCATGGCAACAAAGGAGTGGCTCAAGAAGAAGCACATTAAGGTCCTGGAGTGGCCTAGCCAGTCTCCAGACCTTAATCCCATAGAAAATCTGTGGAGGGAGCTGAAGGTTCGAGTTGCTAAACGTCAGCCTCGAAACCTTAATGACATGGAGAAGATCTGCAAAGAGGAGTGGGACAAAATCCCTCCTGAGATGTGTGCAAACCTGGTGGCCAACTACAAGAAACGTCTGACCTCTGTGATTGCCAACAAGGGTTTTGCCACCAAGTACTAAGTCATGTTTTGCAGAGGGGTCAAATACTTATTTCCCTCATTAAAATGCAAATCAATTTATAAAATGTTTGACATTTTCACAATTTTTTTGTTGTTATTCTGTCTCACTGTTCAAATAAACCTACCATTAAAATTATAGACTGATCATTTCTTTGTCAGTGGGCAAACATACAATATCAGCAGGGGATCAAATACTTTTTTCCCCTCACTGTAAATGCCATTTAGCAGATGCTTTTATCCAAAGCGACAGTCATGCGTGCATAAATTTAACATACGATAGTCCCAGGAATCGAACCCAACATCCAGACGTTGCAAGCGCCATGCTCTACCAACTGAGAAGACCACTATTTATACATGGATACAGAGTGTTCTCACCAGTTCGCTGGCCTGGTCGATGGTGAAAACACTGCAGTTGAGGCGGTCGCGCACGTCGATCTGAGCGTCGGCCAGCAGGGAGATGAGCTGCTTACACTCGTTCTGCATGCGTGTGAAGGGAATGGCGATCTCATCGTAGTACAGCTGCTCTGACAGGATAGCTAAGAGGCGAGGCTGGACCATGGCTGACACCACCTGACACTCCTGAGGCGAGAAGGGGGGGGGGGGCAAGGCGGTTTAATTTCAAATCGGCCAGGATTCAATGAAACAGTTTGCTGATATCATGCTGGATATACATACACACACCTTGAGATGTTGGCTCAAGCTGAAATTAGTAAATCGCCCTGCACGGGTAGGTTATATGAGTTTGTTTGAAGCCCGGCCATAAAAGCCTTTCTGAAATAAATCCTGACAGCATTATGGTGAAAAACTCCTATCCAAATAAAACGATTACAAAAACGTACGAACGAAAAACAGACTCAGGTCCTACCTTCTGCACTGCGGCCCACTCACAAAGTACCAGTGACACAGCGATGCGCTGCAGGGCAGACTTTGAGTTGAGGTGGAAAAGCAGCAACTGGCCCAGCGACTCAGCCGGCCGGATGTCCTGGGAGGACGAGTTGACCTGTGGGTCGCAAATACACCGACACAGGGCCCCCAACAATCTGAAGAGAAAAAAATGAAAATTGTTAGGCATTCATAATAACTTATTGCAAATGTTGTAACTGGATTTGTCGCAATTCCACCATCGCATTTCTTTTTTTTACAAGTTTCAGTTTGCATACTGGTTTGTTAAATGAGGAAGACAATGACCTGGAATGGGTGAAACATTTGTATCAACATACCAGGACTCCAGGCAGTAAAGCACACTTTACATATCCGATTCAAATATTTTATTTTTCCTGCAGTCTGAACAGCCAAAAAGCACATGGATTCTGATATTTTAAGCCACATGTCAAACCACCTTCGTAGGTGGTTTGAAGTCTGATTCCCGGCCATGCGACGTGTCTGAATGGTCAAGATTTATTTGCCCTCAAGTGGTTCTAGCTTGTTAATTGATTACAAACTAAATTAGTGAATATGCTAGAAAGCTAAATAGCTACCTAGCTAGCCGACTGCTGTGGCTAGACAAAAAGGACTTGTGTTGAAAGTTGGATCATCTTTTCCTGAGGCTTTAAAAGTGTTCTTACCCTATGATTTTGAACATTCAAAGCAACTGGGAAACGTCCGTGGCAGGCATTGATGTCACGTTAGCTTGCTACATAACTTCTGAGCGATAGGAAGCATGAGCGCCACCAACCTGCCTTCACCACCTCGCACACACCCGTTGTTACTATGACAACTAGCGTAGCCATGTCAGCAAATGACTGCTGTCTGAACACACACAAATCCGATTTGGTCACTTGTAACTTGCTGTTTGGACAGTCAGTATTCCAAAACAGATTTTAAAAAATAAAAAATAAAAATGATTTGAGTATTAAGGTCTGTAGTGTGAACAAGGCTTATGAGGCTTAGAGCCCAACGATGCCGAGTTGCTCTTGCCTTGACTAACTGTCCAACCAGAGTAGCAGCTGGCTGCAGAAACCATACAGTGCTGCGATGAGTTTTTAAATCTTAGTCTCTCAGGAGCCAACCGCTGCCAACAATAGTCCCAATTCCACCATTGTTTTTTCTTCATTATCGCTATGGATCAAAATTAGACGCAGAGTAATAGAAACAGAGAGGGACTAACTTTGCGGCCATGAGGCGAGCCCGTGTCACCACATAGTCTCGCGTCATTGGGTCCTCGGTCACAGTTTCTGCCCCAGCGATATACTCCTGAACAGTCTCCTTCACCTGAACCAAGGCTCCCTGGCGAGGCTTCCCCCCAGCCTTCTCCTGTCAAATCAAATCAGAGAACACATGCATCAAAGACTGGGTAGCGTTCAGTAGGCACAAAACGGAAAATAACTGTCCGGAACAGACGGGTACCATCTAAGGTTGTCCAATAAGAAACAAAATGTTTTCCGTTGCAAAACATTTAGCAAAAATGTGAATGTGCCCTAATGAGCCTGACCTTAGACAACTGGATAACAGCATCATACCAGAGAAAATACATAAACCTATCCCATAATGAAGCCCTGTGTAACATTAGTACAGGGGCACTTGAGAATACAACAATCTGTAACTGATGTACCAATCAGTCCTAATTTAGTAACCACCCTCTCACCTTGCAGCGAGCCTTGACTTCCAGCAGCATGTTGATGTCTATGGGGATGTGAGAGGCTTGCATCATCAGGCAGAGCCAGGCGCCCATCCAGGGACAGCTGGCTGCCACCACGTAATGCTGAGGGGCCTGGCGCAGCAGCTCTGTCCACACCTAGAAGACATTAATTAAAAAACATGTCACATGTGCCAAATACAACAGGTGTAGACCTTACCGTGAAATGCTTACTTACAAGCCCGTAACTATTTCTTGAACTGCATTGTTGGTTAAGAAAAGATTTACTGAATAAACTAAAGTAAAAAATAAATTTAAAAAAGTTACGCAATAAAATAAGCTATATCCAGGGAGTACCGGTACCGAGTCAACGTGCTGGGGTACAGGTTAGTCGAGGTAATTTGTACATGTAGGTAGGGGTAAAGTCACTATGCATTGATAATAAACAGTGAGTAGCAGCAATGTCAAAACAAAAATACTGAAGAGGCGACTCCGGGATGCTGACCTTCTAGGCAGAGTTGCAAAGAAAAAGCCATGTCTCAGACTGGCCAATAAAAATAAAAGATTAAGATGGGCAGTCTGAGATATGGCTTTTTCTTTGCAACTCTGCCTAGAAGGTCAGCATCCCGGAGTCGCCTCTTCACTGTTGACGTTGAGACTGGTGTTTTGCGGGTACTATTTAATGAAGCTGCCAGTTGAGGACCTGTGAGGTGTCTGTTTCTCAAACTAGACACTAATGTATTTGTCCTCTTGCTCAGTTGTGCATCGGGGCCTCCCACTCCTCTTTCTATTCTGGTTAGAGCCAGTTTGCGCTGTTCTGTGAAGGGAGTAGTACACAGCGTTGTACGAGATCTTCAGTTTCTTGGCAATTTCTCGCATGGAATAGCCTTCATTTCTCAGAACAAGAATAGACTGACGAGTTTCAGAAGAAAGTTATTTGTTTCTGGCCATTTTGAGCCTGTAATCGAACCCACAATTGCCGACGCTCCAGATACTCAACTAGTCTCAAGAAGGCCAGTTTTATTGCTTATTTAAATCAGCACAACAGTTTTCAGCTGTGCTAACATAATTGCAAAAGGTTTTTCTAATGATCAATTAGCCTTTTAAAATGATAAACTTGGATTAGCAAACACAACGTGCCATTGGAACACAGGACTGATGGTTGCTGATAATGGGCCTCTGTACGCCTATGTAGATATGCCATTAAAAATCAGCTGTTTCCAGCTACAATAGCCATTTACAACATTAACAATGTCTATACTGTATTTCTGATCTATTTTATTGGACAAAATAAATTGCTTTTCTTTCGAAAACAAGGACATTTCTAAGTGACCCCAAACTTTTGAACAATAGTGTATATTCTCTGTGTCGTCGTTCAGCCACGACTCAGTGAAACATAAGATATTACAGTTGAATGTCCCGTTGGTAGGATAGTCGAACGGAGATCATCCAGTTTATTTTCCATTGATTGCACGTTGGCCAATAGAACGGATGGTAGAGGTGGGTTACCCACTCGCCAACGAATTTGAACAAGGCACCCTGATCTCCGGCCCATTTCTTTAAGTCTTCACGCGAATGACAGGGATTTGGGCCTGGTCTCTGAGAAGCAGTATATCCTTTGCGTCGGACTCATTAAAGAAAATAATCGTTGTCCAGTTGAGGTGAGTAATCGCCGTTCTGATATCCAGAAGCTCTTTTCGGTAGCAGCAACATTATGTACAAAATACGTTACAAACAATGTGAAAAAACACACAAATTAGCTCAGTTGGTTAGGAGCACGTAAAACAGCAGCCATCCCCTCTAGCACCATTGTACTGTATCAGCCAGGATATATGACCTCCTTGATAGTGTGTGTGTGTGTGTGTGTGTGTGAGAGTGAGACAAACAAACCTTTTGGATGAGGTCCAGGATCTCCTGATTGCTCTCCAGGATGCAGGACTGGAAGATGTGTCGGAGCATGTCTTGCAGGACCTGGTTGAGCCATAGTGCACAGCTCTGGAACACCACAAAAAAGACTTCAGTGATGAAATCAGCCAAATTGTATAAACACAGTTGTAGTCATAGTTTAGCATTTCAATCATTCAATCTCAAATCGACTCCTACTTGTGGAAATCTGAGAGGATTTGATTGGTATAAACAATAAATGGTGAAACTTTCACCTAGCCTTATTGCTTACACCTATCCAATCCTCTCAGATCTAGACTAGTGCATGGGGTCTATTTAGGATTGGGCCATTGGCATCCCTTTCCCTTACAAACCCACCTGGTCAGCTTTGGATAGTAGGGTGAAGAGGGTCTCTAGTGCAGCCCGTCTGACTGATGATATGGTGTGTCTAAGGAATGGCCAGACCCGAGGGACAAGGACCGTTAGGGACTGCTGCATGCTGGAGGGACAAAAGAGAACATTGTTGGGCCTGTTAACCCTTGCACAAGTTGTCCTCTGAAACATCTAGTGTGATTTGCATGTACTATGACAAAAAAAAAACTAAGACAACATTCTACGATGTCATATTCTTGAACAAAAGTAAATAAAAAAAATAATCACTGGTGAGAACATTGCACAGCCATATCAAACACCATTGACTTTACAAGACAACTGTTCCATGTTAAAGTGGGAGAAGAGGTTATATCTTTACAGACAGGAAATTAGTCACTCACCTGCACTGTCGGACCTGGGGGTAGGTGAGCAGAGAGGACAGTAGGGTCATGATGCTGTTGGTGGAGGCTGTCAGGTCATCCAGCTCCAGGAGAGCGTCCCACAGGGTGTTCACTATGAATGGGACCTGAACAATACAAAGAAAACACAGCGGTCATGATTATACAACAGAGACAACTGCTATAGTCAGCACAGTACTGAAAAAACAAATAAAGCAAATTAACTACCTGGGTTGTGTCCATTAGGGCATGCAACGGAAAACATGAGCATTTCTTACTGGACAAGCCCAGGTAGCCATTTGGTGCTTACTAAACACAACCCTACAGTGCCATAAAGAAGTATACAATGCCAAGGCGGCAAGCCATGAGATGGATAGGACTATGTGAGGGGTGAGGTTGGAGAGAGGATAAAGGGCAGTTAAGGTGACCAGACGTGGAGAGGTGTTCCAGTCTGACCTTGTTGGGGAGTAGCTGTACTAAGCTGTCCACCACAGGGATGAGGGCCTCGGCTGCCACCGCTCTGACATCATCATCCAGGTCCTGCAGCCCCTCTGTGATGGCAGGGAGCACCCGCGGAAGCAGAGCGGAGATCAGGTCCTGAGCGGGAGAAAGAGAGAGGGAAAGAAAAAGAACAAGAGAGGGGGCATAAGACAGAAATATATAAAAGAGAGTTAAGAGTGCAAGAGAAAAAACAAAAAGAGAGTCCAGTCTATACATGTATAAAACGCTTGTTTTACTGCCTTACACTGGATAACACACATCATCCATGATGGGCATCAGACACAAGCAGACAGGACAGGAGGTTATTGGTACCTGTCGGACAGCCAGGGCATACTTGATGCCCAGAAGACCTCCGTGCCGGACCTCCCACTGGTCCTCCGTCAGCAGCTTCAGCAAGATGTCAACAGTCATGGCAACGCCGCTGTCATTCATATGGCGCAAGGCCACGCCCAGTGTCTGGGCACAAGTCTCTCTGACCGGAGCCACCACCTGCCCAGAAAGGAGAGAGACAGCATGTTAGACATACAGCAACACCTGACTCAAGTGCCTGTAGGTAGGGTAACAAAATTCTGTAAACTGGCATTTGATAAATCTTTCTGAATTTTGCAACCTTACCCCAGAGGGAGTAAATAACAGTCATATTAAATTGAATTCAACCATCCCACTCAATTGCATGGTATGATACAAGACACACCTCATCAGAGACAAAGTCTCCAAAACGGTCCAGAGCAAACACACAGAGCAGCCGTATAACCACATCCTCCAGCCACTCCTGGTGCTGCCGCGCCATCTGGGAAAGGTCAAAGGTCAGACATATTGTGGTCATATCGATTAGAGGTAAACTGAACTATTCATGTTTGCAGGTTGCATAGAGCAGTGTTTCCCAAACTCGGTCCTGGGGCCCCACCTGGGTGCACGTTTTGTTTTTTGACCTAACACGACACAGCCATTTCAAATAACCAACTCACTATCAAGCTTTGATTATTTAAATCCACTGTGTAGTGCTAGGGGGGAAAAAAATCTAAAAGTGCACCCAGAGGGTGCCCTAGCACAGAGTTTGGGGAAACCCTGGCATAGAGAGAAGAGTCAGATACAGTACCTGTTCTGCAGTGCATTCCACCAGCTTCCCTCCTCCAGCACCTTGAGACTTGAGGATCTCCCTGAGGCCTGTGCCTGCACCGTGACGAATCTGAACACATAATCAGAGCACTAGTAGTTTCATAGATCAGTGTCAGTCTATATGCTGCCTGTTATGTGTTATACAATGGATCCTTATAGGACAACTACATTAAGCGCTGTAGGATTACAGATTACTTGAACGGGTCTGCTAGGAATAGGAAGGTCATTACCTCCCATGAGGGGTTGAATAGGTCATTACAGAGCTCATCACAAAAGCTCTCCAGGGGCCACTCCTGGGTCTGGAAATAAAGCACAAGATGAATCAGAACTGTTCAACGTTTGGACAAAGACACAGATTTTATAACAGTTGAACTATACCGTCTTTCTCCAGACGCCGAGTAAATTGATTCTCAAGTTCTGTGTAAAATGGTTGACTTTGATCGTATTCTTTATAAAGAGCTTTATCCTTGGTGACCCATTTCTTACCTCTTCTAAGAGACTGGAGTTGTCTGGAACATTATCGATTAAGACTTTATGCTCCGTTGCCGGTTGGTCGATGACTACGTTGGTAGTTTTCCTGCGCTTCTCCTCAGGCTCCCCCTCAAAACTGTCATTACTACAGAAATAATAATAATATTTATCTGTGATTTGATTTCCAAACTCAGGTCATCCAATTCAGAAAGACCCCATCGCCTACATTATACAATGCAGATGGAAACCAAAGACAGAAAGACCTGGGTTATGTTCATTAGGGCAAACGTAGCAAAGAGTTTTGTAGCAGAAAACGTAAATGAGCATCTCTTATTGGACATGTACAGACAGTGCCTCCACTTTCCACTCAGTTTCAAAATGATTTGTTCAGTTTGTTGCGTAATGAACACGACCTGTCTAAAAAGCTTTGGAAGAAATAGGGCATACCTTCTCTCGTTGGGATCCATGTCTTTGGATCGTTGCTTTGCCACTAGCTTGGCCATCCTCTTAGCCTTGTTCTTCTGTCGGTTGCTCATGCCTGGTCGAAACTCTGCGTCTATTATCTCTGCCGCCTGCATGGGCTGAAAGTGGAACAATTACAATTGAACATTAGTTTCTAGTGATCGAACAAAACAATTGTTAACTTATTTCATTCATTTCTCTGACCAAAGAGACAGTTCCTCAGACAGAGAGCATGTTGTTGTTTCCTTCTAACAGCGACAAAGATATGAACACAACTTGCACAGATCACATCCTAAAGTGAAGACGGCACATGCACGCTGAAAGGTGCAGGTCAGATAAGTGGGGTGGACCGGGAACTATGCCATCTTGGCTTTGCATCTGGTCTAGTTGATCATTAGGATAGACACAGAAATAGTTATGACACTTCGCACCACCCCTAGGTTTCCTGCACTCCAACTCAGATTGACATCTTTCCATGAGAGAAGATTGCAGAAAGCAAGCCTATCTGATGTTAGTCCCCAGACTATGGCCGTGTCTGAAAACATTACTAGCTATCAAGTCCTTGCTTCCTCAGTCCTTGTTTCCTCAATGCCTTCCTCAATTTTCTGAGGGACCTTTAGCCTCTCCTCCAATGATCTTTGAGAGGCATTGAGGAAACAAGGATTGCGGAAGCAAAGATTTGACAGCTAGTAACGTTTTCAAAGCATGTTATGTCAAGACCTACACCAAGGTCTTCTTACCAGACGTCCCGGTCATGGTTGGACAAGTTACATCATGCCTCCTCTGTCCAAGTTTGGTTACGCATAGCCAGGTTTTGACTGAAGGGTCCAAAATATACCTGGCAACGCTTTGAGGTGCTGAAAGAAGCACCAAGCTTCTAAGCCTCACACACTGTCTGCCACGGTTGTGACCAAATTAACCAAGGATAGTAGCCTGCACTTGTTGCTACCTGGGTGGAGTTCAGTTGTTAGAAAAGGCTTTGAAACAGAGTGAAACAGGGAGGGACTACCTGGACTAATCCAATAAGAAACTAATTTTTCGTTTTCCGATGCAAAATGTTCCAGAACATTTTTCGTAGCATGGCCTAATGAACACGACCCTCGGTGTTAAGCTTTGTAGGATGCTGTTCAAAATTGAACTAAATTACTGACTCAATGACAGCCTTGGAGCTCAACGTACAGTAACAGCCTAAAGGAGAGTTGGAAATGGAGGTAGTGTGACTGACTCACCACGTGGTTATGGGAGCTGGAGCAGGGTCCAGAGCCCTTCCCTCCCTGTCCCTGGGCCTTAGGGCCACTGGGCGTGCAGATGTACTGGGTGTCCAGGTCCTCATCATTGAAAAGCTCCATCGTGTCCATGCCGATTGCGGCACCTATGTCCAGTCCCAGCTTCCTCTGCAGCAGCTTCCTCTGGCGGGCGAGACGCTCCTTAGGGTCCACTTCACCTGGCACGGGAGAGCAAAAAGAAGGGGTATGAAGCTTGTAGAAAATACCAACTATGGAGAAACTCATTTATGTAGAGAATACATGGACACATATGGCTGGTTTCCTGGACACAGATTAAGCCTCTAGTAATGGAGAAAGAAAAAATGGTTCTCAATGCAGAATCTCCATTGAAAGTGCGTTTTGGTCCAGGACTAATGTGCACGTCCCTGAAACCAGCCCTTAGGGCAGGGATGGGCAACTTTGAAGGGGGCCACAAAATCTGAACTCATGAGGGGCCGTAGTTCCTCGCAGGTCTGGTACCCCCCCGATAAAATGTGTATAATCTCATGCAATTCTACACATTTTGCCATGGGGTGTAGAGAAAAGTTTGTAGTTTCTAACATGATATCTGAGTGAGACTAACAAAATCAAGTCGGGGCCCCACGGCCAGTAATTCAACCATGATAACAAGTTTAGATAACTTGCCTCTAAATGAACTTAGCGATTAAAAATAAAAAATAAATGGGCCCTGATCCAAAAAGTGACTTTATAGGGACAACAGTGTATGGTGCCATTTGGGACCCAGCCGTGCTCTGAACTGTGGTCACTGACACCAAGGGCCGAGCGACGCAAAAGTGAGATTCAGAATGCAGATGATGCAACATTGAAACTAAATCCTGACACCCTACAGCAGGCATAGTCATTGCATGCGTCTCTCAGCAACTTCATTGGCCCCGATCAAACAAACGTCTTGGTCCACCAGCCACTTAGATTTAACCAGCCAAAATATTTGTTTTGCTGTAATTACATCAAACCCTCCCCCAACCAACAAAAAAAACAAGATGACCATGCTTAATGTTTCTAAAACAAAAAATGTTTTAGTAAGAAGTAATGAGATATTGGTGAATTTCATTTCATTTTTTGTGACCCAAGTCTTTTTTACCCCCTTTACTCCCCAATTGGTAGTTAGTCTTGTCCCATCGCTGTAACTCCTGTACGGACTCGGGAGAGGCGAAGGTCGAGCCGTGCGTCCTCCAAAACACAACCCCGAAAAAGCCGCACTGCTTCTTGACACAATGCACGCTTAACCCAGAAGCCAGCCGCAACAACGTGTCGGAGGAAACACCGCACACCTGGCGACCGTGTCAGCGTGCATGTGCCCGGCCCGCCACAGGAGTCGCTACAGCACAATGGGACAAGGACATCCCGGCCGGCCAAACCCTCCCCTAAACCTAATGGGTCTCCCGGTCGCGGCCGGCTGCGACACAGCCCGGTATCGAACCAGGATCTGTAGTAACGCAGCTTGCTCTGCGATGCGGTGCCTTAGACCGCTGCCCACTTGGGAGGCCGTGACCCGAGTCTTTCAACCAAAATATCAGATGAGCCAAAATGTTCAGCTGCCACTTTAAGGGCAGGAGGTTACAATGGTAATGGGGCCACTCGAGTCTTGTTAAGTGTGGGGTCTGTGTGAGATTTTGGATCTGACTAGTAGTAGACAATAGACAGTATTTCTTCGCCATCAATTGAAGCACCAGACTCAAACTAACATTGAAAAACAACCGACCTTGAACAAAACAATGTAAATAACCAAGAAACACTAGACCAACATTTATGCCGGTACACAGCACCTCCAAAAATGAATATAAGCAGAGCGCACAAAGCTCCCCAGGCCAGGCAGTGTTGCTGCACGAGGTGGGATATAGATTCGTATTTCGTTGTGCAATTAGCAGCTATGAAACAAAATGGCAGAAATACTTTGAAAACAGCTACAAATCACAACTCGCACATGTGCTCATACTTGACTTTTTACTTTATTTTTTATTTGCAAATTCAAATGTAATGCTTGTACTGTAGAGCCCTGCAAATTGACCACCCGCCTACGTGGCTGGTGAAATTGACATTCTTAAGGTGTCAGCATGCTTAAGTTCGGCTGGTGCCTAGCCGAACCAAATGAGTGTCCTCGCATACTCCCTTAAAAGACCTTCGCTTGAAAAACGAGAAAAAAGCAGCAATAATACTGTTTGTCCATTTTGAGACGCCGTAGCCAGTATACACTTCCTGAAAATAGTCAGAAGTAACTCAAGAAATCTGTCATTAATTTAGTTAGTCTTAATTAGCATGAAAACTAGTCATCCCTCGTTGAATGGCAAATACTTTTTAGAAGAACCCCTACTGTTGACCAATCACCGACAAAGGGGCGTAGACTTCAACTCCGAACTTCGGCTTGCCTCCAGAAAAAATGTGTGCCCAAACAGCCACAAAAAAAACTCACCGAAGTCCAAAACGAACTAAAACGTCACAAAATGTCTTCATAATATATGCACAAACTCTACTGAACTGTTTCGGCTGGGAAGCATGCGGATGCCTTTACCCGCCAATACCTAAATCTACCCGGATTTGGCGGGTGTTAATTATATGCCCTGTTGATGATCATCCCTGAACTTTCCAATAACTTTGATGCATTTCAGTCACACCAAAACATACTTCCTTCAGACTGAAATTTGGCATATCTTTGTTCTATTATTGTGATAAAGCGATATTAAAAATATTTATTTTTGATACCCAAGTGTCCTTAAATTGAGAATGAAATAGCTTGATGGTCCATGTTTATAGTATTTTAAATGGCATTTATAGTAATCAATTGGATATCATGTATGAATCAATTTGACTTTGTGACCCCCAAGCCCTGTTCTCCGAGGCTATGGCAGCTTGCCCAGTGAGGTTGTTTCACAAAAGAGCACGAAAACAGCCTATCAATTTGGTCACATACCAGATTCTCCCAAAACATTCCTTCTAATTGGATAATAACAGACAAACCAACCTATTAGGAGCCTCACATTACTGAGCCAGGTGTTCGTAGGACGAGTTAAGAGTTAAAAACCAGATGCATACCGGACTTGTCATCCTGGACCTCAAACTCAGCTCCGGCAGAACCCAGTAGAGAAGCACCATGTTTGAGCAGGCGGGAGATGTCGAATCGGTAGAAACTCAACCGGTCAGAGTAGGAGTCCTCTGGGGAAAAGTCTGCACACGACTCTGGAAGAGATCGACAAGCATCCCCGCACCACGGTTAGATACAACATCAAATCATTCAAAAGTTAAGGTTGTTTAAAGTTCTGACTAATCTTACAGTCAGAATGGGACCCACACTTTTTACTGTTGAGTGGGAAATATTAGATCAAGAAAAGGAGAAACCTGCACACTGCACTTGCCGGTATCACTTGTTTATTTAAATTTACATATCACCCTCACAGCCTTCGTCAGAGCTTTGTATAATGAGTGGTGAATGCTGATGAAATGTTAAGTGTTTCATTTCCATGTGAGAACATAAGCCTACACATTCAAATACCTCATCACCTACTGTCAATGGTTACTTAAGAGCAGCTCTGACATCAGTTGTATAACACCTAGGGCAAACATTTGCTAGTGTGTTCACATATACCTACTCATTAAACTGATTCCTGGTGGCTAAAACAAAGCTATAGAGGCCATGGCACATGTTTCACAAAGGTTATTTAAATCCTAATCCTGTGAGTAATGGAACGTTATGGCTTTATTTGTTCCCTACTGTCAGGTGTGTAACAAAACAGAGGCACTTGGCTGTGAATAACATGGCAGGTTAAGGTTGGTTCACCTTGTTTGGGCTTGGGTGACGGGTTCCACTCTGGGATATTCTTCACAATGGCCTCCACTGCCTGACCCGCAGCGATACGCGTGTCCCAGTTTGGACTTCTCAGGTACGTCAACACCTGTAGGTTATGGGTGAGCAAGAAAACACAAGACTCGTAGGATGTAACACATCTCATTCAAATGCATCAGATCAGATTGTGGGAACTTATGCACTATTCCAGTTCAAAGGTTCCACTGGTTTAATAATCACCTCAACATGCCACGAAGGAAACGAAGACAGTGGGCTATTCAGCAGTCTATGACCTTTATGGGCCTCCATTTAAATTTTTCCAGACAAGGTAAAGAGGGGTTTGCAAATCTGTATGGGTGGTTAAAGTATGGATGCCCTTTTGGCAGCACTATAGGCAGGGGGGTAGGGAGCTGACAACAGTGTGGACTCCCTGGATCGTATTCATTAGCACACGCTGTAGTAAAACGAAAACAAACATTTCTCAGACAAGTTCAAGTAGTCCCTCCCTATTTCAGTCTATTCTTCTTTTTAGTGCCCAATGTATACAACCCTGATGTAGATAGGGACCTGACTGTGGGCACTCATGAGGAAGACAGCAAGCCCAGACTTACCTTCGACAACAGGTTGTTGAGCTCATGTGGATGTAGTTTGACCACATCTCCCAGCTGTTGGGCAGCAGCCTTCCTCGTCACCGGAGTAGTTCCAGTGTCAAGCAAGATGAAAAGACGATCAAGCCTGGAGGACAAGAGAAGGGGAGGAAAAAAGTAGATACAAAAATAATATACTAGGGATTCATTGAGCTCCATTGCATGTGAGAAGAGACTTGAGAAGTTGCATTAGTTTTTTTGCATTATATTTCCAAATGTAACAAAAGGACACGAACTCCATGGAGCGTTGTAGAACTCCGGTCTTGTCGACAGCATCCTAAGTGGGAACTTGAACTTCTGCTTTGTGAAATAAGGTGTAGGTTTCACTTTCCATAATATTTCAGTTTTGCAGATTGCCCAGTGTACATGGCACTAGGGAGGGCACTTCAAGTCCTAGAGTATACTGTGCATGAGATAGGAGTATTGAACACATCTCTGCTAAAAATAAAACCAAGGGCCATTAAAAAAAGGGTGATTCTGTGCAGTGTGGCAACATGCCCAGCCACTGAGTAAAACAAATCCAACATCTCTCCGCTACCCATTAATACACTTATGGTTGAGGTGTATACATCTTGTTGGGATTAGGAATAGTTTGGCAGGGGTAAAAACTATATTTTCCCCTTTGAGCATTCAAATGATCCAGGTGGAAATGTTTTGATTTGTTCTCAATTGTTATTGTACTACCAACTAGGTAATTTGATATCAAAATATAAGCGGATGTTCAGATTCAGTGCGCATATCACTGAACTTCAAGATTCAGAAGTTGGCTGGAGCCTGGCTAACTGTCAATAGATCATTGCATCCAGGTAACCTTCAGGTCAGGTTTATGGATATAGACTCACCGGACAGTTTATTATCGATCCTACAGACAGTGAGTCATGTGGCCATGGCTTGCTATATAAAGCAGGCATACATCGAGGCATTCATCTACTGTTCCATTGAACGTTAGAATGGGTAAAACGAGTGACCTAAGCGACTGAGCGTGGTATGATCGTCGGTGCCAGGTGTGCCGGATCCAGTGTCTCAGAAACAGCCACCCTCCTGGGCTTTTCACGCACGACAGTGTCAAGGGTTTACCGAGAATGGTGCGACAAACAAAAAACATCCAGTCATTGACAGTCCTGTGAGCAAAAACAGCTCGTTGAGGTCGAATGAGAATGGCAAGAATCATGCAAGCTAACAGGCGGGCCACAAACAGATAAATAACAGTATCACTACAGTGGTGTGCAGATCGGTATCTCAGAATGCACAACTCATCGATCCTCGTCACGGATGGGCCATTGCAGCAGACAACCACACCAGGTTCCACTCCTATCAGCTAAAAACAATAAGGGTCTCCAGGGCAGGCGATCACCAACACTGGACAATTGAGGAGTGGAAAAATATTGCCTGAAACATGACAGCGAGTTCAGTTTACTTGAGTTGCCTGCTCAGTCCCGAGACCTCAACCCAATAGAGCATTTTTGGGATGAGATGGAACGGGCAGTTCGCAGCATGAACGTCCCGCCGTCCAATCTGCAGCAACTGCGTGATGCCAACGCGTCAGGATGGACCACATCCCAGCGGAACGTTCCCGACACCTTGTAGAATGCCCGAAGAATTCAGGTTGTTCCATGTTATTTCTGAGCCAATTCATTTACACATGCTGGATATGACACGAGTGAAACAAACCACCATACAAAATAAATATCTGGATGAAACATGAGCGATAATCTAATTCGCAAGATGATAGACTGGCACGTTTGCAAGCAGATGGCACATCAAGTAACAGCTAAAGGTAAAAACATGTCTCGAAGACCATATTATCATGATCAATTGTATGCGACAGGTCTGCTGGTAACTACAATTAGCTACTTAACGTTAGCTAGGAATTGCTGCCGTTTTTGTATCTAGTAGCTCAGTAGTAAACTGGCTGTCTAAACTTGCTAGATAACTTAGGTAGTTAAAACGGTTGTTTAGCTAGAACTACCAAGTTGGAAAACGCATGCCATGAACCAAGCACGGTTGGCCCGGTATCATGAACCACCACGGGCCGTTGTGTTAGGCTAGCTAGCCATCAACACCATGCCGATGCCTGTTAATGCTAACTAGCTAGATAACTAGTGGCTAAGTTAATAATATTTGATATTAAACAGATAGCTAGGGAATCTCACCTTGATACGGCCATGACAATTAATTGAATGTGTAAATGTACTCTTTTGTGATCCGTATTCAACAGGAGCGATCATTAAAAGTTATCCTCTTTACTTGACGCTAATCCAATGCGCTAGCTAGTTAGCCTAGCAAGGGAGGCCGCTAGTGCGTCTCTTCTCACAGCTCACCACCCGAAACCAGTCGAAATGAGCATCAAATCAGGTCTTCAAAGTAGGTCCCTCTATCTCTTCAATAACTTCTTCCTGAGAAAAATGCAATTTATTAAACTTATATCACCTTAAACCTTGTATTAACCTTCAGAACTACTCCCAGATAAGTACTTTAATCTAATAAGATTTAAATAGTAATTTTTGTGTTCGCTAAAGGGAACCCAGGAGGCTGATTTTATATGAGGCGACATCTTGCATTTATTCCGTCCTCCATAACAGGCGCCGGCTGATTGGTTAGAAGCCATTTCAGCGACCAATCGAAAAGCACATTAAAGAGGAAGTGCACGAAGCGAACAAAAAAACTCCTCGCAGGAAATACATGATTCCCCTTTTGAATTGACAAAAGCCCGCCCACGCGCCTGTCATTCAACAGAGAACCTTTACGAAAAGGTATGTTACCCACTCTGTGAAACCAACCTCTTGCAACTCAAACCTCATGGTGATAAAATAAATAATACAATTAATGTAACTGTCCATCAAAGCTCCATCACCAATAGTCTTTAAAACTTTTCTTCTGAGTCACAAAGTCGCATCTTTCAAAACACTTTTAAATGATGTAAAAGTGATGTAGCTAAAATGTATTCATTTTTGAAGTGTCCAGCAGCTACATTTGTAAATTTCACTTTTTATTTTATTTGAGGAAGCAGACCCATGCTGTCGTAGCTGAGTTTCAGCATCAGGAGCTGACCAGTGCTGAAACTGCTAGTGCCAGGCTCATGCAAAGAGTTGAATGTTTATTTAGCGCACGCTGTCTGGTCTGGCAATAGATGGCCATGGCTCGCTAACACAGTGGAGCAGTGAATTAATGGCTGCTATCTAGCAACAGTGAGGGAGCTGTCTGAAGAAAAGCCTATCAAGTTCTAATTAACTAACGTTAGCTAGCTATGCATTTGGCAGGAACCTAGCTAGCAAATTAGCTAGCTATGCTGAGACTGAGCAAATATATGATAACTAGCTAGCTAACTAACCCCTTTCATCTGTGCTGAGAGTCTAGCTAGCTACTTATTTTCCTACAATTTAACCATGATTGTATTACTGGTCTTTTGTCAGAGTTTAAGTGTTTGTTCTAGTTTGTTTGTTTTAGTTTGTTTATTTTATCCCATGTTCACCCCACGACCATGGTGACTTGGCGGCCAGGTCTCACTAGAAGAGGTTCGAGGGTATTTAACTGAATTTAAGAAATGTCTATCAAATTTCTTCCCAAATTCAAGGTGATGCTTGAGGAAATATGATGCATGTGGCTATAACTTGGCACTAGTGAAGCACTTCTGTATGACACATCCATCTAGCATTTGTTTCGAGGAGGACAAATGAGAAAAAGGAAAAGCTTCAACTTCAAGATGGGAGTACACATCCAAGAAAGGGGTATTGGCATTTGGCATACTGCTTTTAAAAAATCATTTTCAGTAGCATTGTGCATTTGATTGTTGGTGTTGTGTGTGTGTGTTTAATGACTCCTCTTGGTGACCATAGTTGAGAGTGATCCCACAGCCCCCTCATATCAGGCTCAGCAGAAGTCAAGAAAGAGGTAGACTCATGCTCCAGGAATACAAGATGAGATATCTAGTGGTTAGTCAGTCTATCAATCCTCAAAAGATGCTATAATCATGGCTGGTCTTGTCATTCTTCTTATGTTCCCTCATCTAGTTAAAAAGAAGTGAGAATAAAATAACCTCATAAAATTGCTGACGAGCAGGTAGGGAAAATACAGGTCTTGCCATTTTTGCATTATAGACCTAGAAGTCTGACCACGGTATTGTCTGGCTTTCATTGTTTGATTGTACTATTGATTTGCTACAGACTTACTTTAATGAGAGAGTGCATTTCTCTTGTAATCTGGCCTGCCTTTGTTGCTTTTCTCTTTGAAGTCATGCGCAAAGGAAGAAGCCTATCTATTATTCTGCCTACGACTAATACACTCTCACAACAGGTAACCCAAAAATAATGAAGAATATGCATTTGGCGGAAATTATATATTATCATTATGTTTTACATCCATATATTTGTTAAAAATTACATTTTACCGATGTAACTGTAGTATGAAGTTGATGCTACAATTTATTAGTATGCAGCCTTTATTGAAACATGTTTATTTTGTTTCCATGATAGAGTGGGATTGATACTGTCATCGACATTGAGGATGTGGATGAGTGTCATAATCCTCTTGTTCCTGGTGAAATTGAGACACTTGAACGATTGTATGTCTGTAAGAGGCCCCAAGTACCTAGGAAGATAAACAAAATGGACAACCGGCTGGTTAAAGAAAAAAAGGTGTTGATTAACGTTAGATCGATAATAAGTATATTCCGCTACATAATCACAATATTTTTCAGTTTGTATTACAGTATGTTTAGGGAGTAACAGTTGACTCACTTTGAGTGGTTACATAAAACGTATTTGGAATATGTTAATCGCTTCACATATGCAGCCTTTTCATGGTTGTCTTTAGAATAATGGTTATAAAACATGTCTTATGTAAAATGAGCACAGGAATGAGGAGTATTCATGCTTACATTCAGATTTCAACAAATGGTGCCTTTACCATTCAGGCAATATATGGAATCTTATCTGATTAAACATGTTATGCTATGTACTGTATACTGCTTAGCCGATATAAAGGGAACCGGGTACATTACATTTTATCTGGTTTTATCTTCACTATTAGAAAAAAAAAGGTGCTATCTAGAACCTAAAAGGGTTCTTCGGCTGTCCCTATAGGAGAACCCTTTGAAGAACCCTTTTTGGTTCCAGGTAAAACCCTTTTGGTTCCAGGTAGGACCTTTTTCACAGAGGGTTCTACATGGAACCAAAAAGGGTTCTTCTATGGGGACAGCCGAATAACCTTTTTGGAACCCTTTTTTTCTAAGAGTATACATTTTATCAGCAAAGTAACACACTTGTGGCAGGTAAGCAAAAGTAAAGAGAGATGCTCTGCGTTTGTTGTCGTTCAGGGACAGTCCTGGTTTGGATTGAATGGTTGCATGATTGATCTCCCAGACCCAATCCAGAAGTATTGGCATTGTTAAAGTAGATTTCCCATTCTCATGCCAGTCTCCTTGTCTGGCCACAGTGTACATGAGGGTGAGTCTCTTTTTGAATGTTACAGTACTGTGTGTGTAATTTTGTAAGTCTTATGGGTGGAATGGCTTGTTACATATAAAACCCCTCTTTTCATTGATGCAATACCCTTTTCAAAGACAATTTACATAATCCCGCCTGCCTTTAATGCCATGCTTGATGCACCTATAGCCAGTCAGTAATAACATGCCCCCTTACAGCCTGAGAAACTGCCAAGTGCAGGATCTGTTCTATTGCAGAGGGCAGTGCAGGGCTGTGGCAGCTTGATCTGAACCTAGCCAGGCTGATTTTCACCCATCATCCCCTCTTCAGCACAGAGCATGTGTTGGCTCAGAGACTGTATGAGCTCTATGAGCATTATGAAACCAATGAGATGAAAGGTGCAACACTATCATAAGACTTACGATCAAAATCATTTGGGCAAAGTAATGCAGTCATGCAGTTGTATATTGTTCATCTGAAATCTTTATTTTATACCTCACACTGGTAGCTAAGGGGACTGAAGAAGTCAGAAACAGCCTTGACCACCACTGATGAAACTGCTCCTGGCTCATAGTTACGGGATCTGAGACAGAAAATACGGTGAGACTGATTTCTGTTCTAAGAAATAAGATGATACAGTATAATGTACCTATATGTCTGTTAAGACATTGCTGTAATGAATTTGCTGTCACTGCAGAAAGACCCACGTAGCACTGAAGAATGTGAGGCAGGCAGACATCTCTCTGGTGAGGAACATTGTTGCTGCTTGGAAGTGCATCAAAGCCGTCAGGGCCAAGAGCGGCTATGTGAGCACCACTGTGAAACTACAGCTGCATAAGTAAGCGTCATTTGTATTGTTTTGATATAGGATAGGCCTATATATACTGTAGATGTAAATTCTGTTAATAAACGTTCATGTAAGTCATATCACATTAACAACACACATCGCTCTTCATATTACTTCACTCTCACATTGCCCTGTAAAGTCGTTGCAAAGCATAGTGTTTATCATCTTAAAATAGGCTATTAATATGGTCAGCATTTATGATATGGCAGTTCTTACCATAGACATACTAGAGAGCTCATCTCATATATTCACAATGGCTGCTTCTGTGACAGCATCAAATAAATAGATAGAGATCTCATCTTTGTATCTGTGCCAATATTACTTCTGTGACAACACGGGCAGCGCCATTAAGGCTATCTTCATTTTGAAGTAGTCCATTTTCTTCTTCTAGCATACAGCTAATATTGGTGATTTACAGCCACCTGCAGTGCTGGAGTCCTGAACCAAATCTTATGTGTCATTCATGTATTGTGGCCACAAGATGGCAGCTTTATAGCTTAAGGTAATTTACAAACCAAAGCCAACCCAATTTGAAGAATAAGACAATGCTCTGATAATTGACTGATCGCTCCCAATCCGTAGGAGTCCCCTTCCAGTTGACTACTTTAAAATGGTGGAAGCCCTCAATGGCAATGTCCATGCAAAAACTGGTTATATCCAACTAGAAATCTCTATCCATCTCTATGGGCAGCGCCATAGAGGCTATCTCCATTTTAAAGTTAAATTTCTTCTTCCTTTACTTCTATGATTGTACTGACAGATCGTAAATAAACCAAAAAGGTCCATACTACCACCTAGTGTGCTGTAGTGTGTGTATAGTCTGAACAGGTATAAAGCCAAGGTTGGTTATTTACTTCCACCTGCAGCAGTTATGGAATGTTTGCTCAGGGGTAAAATCAAAGATGGTGGATAAATGAAAATAGTTCACTCAGGCCGTTTACCATTGAAAAAACACAGTCAGTTCCGATCTACTTTACGGGGTGGGTCTCCCATAGACACCAATGCAATAGCAGCTGGGTCTGGTCTACTTAATTCATTGACTTTCATTGAACCAGAAAAAAACAGCGAGTGGGGTGTTTCGTTTCCTCTTCCATCTCTGGTATAATCCATTGGCTGACCCCTCCTGCTGACCGGGATGGAATTATGTGAACCTTCCTTAACCCATAGCAAGTCCCATCCAGTTTAACTACTTTAACATGGTGAAAGCCTTCAGGGGCACTGCCCATGATAAAAAAGGCTTTAGTCAAGTGTGCCCGTTATCCAACTATATGGTTGTCAGTGGTGTAAAATAGTTTGTTAAAAATACTTTAAAGTACTACTTAAGTAGTTTTGGGGGGTATCTGTACTTTACTTTACTATTTATATTTTTGACAACTTATACTTTTAATTCACTACATTCCTAAAGAAAATCATGTACTTTTTACTCCATACATTTTCCCTGACACCCGAAAGTATTCATTACATTTTGAATGCTTAGCAGGACTGGAAAATTGTCCAAATCACACACTTTTTTATTTATATATTTATTTTACCGTTAAGAACAAATTCTTATTTACTATGACAGCCTACACCGGCCAAACCCGGACGACGCTGGGCCAATTGTGCGCCGCCCTATGGGACTCCCAATCACGGCCGGTTGTGATACAGCCTGGAATCGAACCAGGGGGTCTGTAGTGACGCCTCAAGCACTGAGATGCAGTGCCACTCGCAGATGCGCCACTCGGGAGCCCACTTCTCAAGAAAAACATCCCTGGTCATCCCTACTGCCTCTGATCTGGCTGACTCACTAAACGCATATGCTTAGTTTGTAAATGATGTCTTTGTGTTGGAGTTTACCCCTTGTTATCCGTAAATAAATAAAAAACTAGAAAATTGTGCCGTCTGGTTTGCTTAATATAAAGAATTTGAAATGATTTATACTTTAGTATATTTTTGAAATGACATTTACTTTTGATACTTAAGTATATTTAAAACCAAATACTTATAGACTTTTACTCAAGTAGTATTTTACTGGGTGACCTTCACTTTTACTTGAGTCATTTTCTATTAAGGTATCTTTAATTTTACTCTAGTATGACAACTGTGTATCTTTTCCACCACTGATGGTTGTTAGCAGGAAGTATTTAGAAACCAGTGCAATTGATGTTTTTCATTGTAACTCATCTCATTCACAGAGTGAAGACAAGGAACACTGACAGCACGACAAACAGAACTGGGACAGATGAGCACATGACAGACAATCTTGACAATCTCTTAACATACAGTGGGGAAAAAAAGTATTTAGTCAGCCACCAATTGTGCAAGTTCTCCCACTTAAAAAGATGAGAGAGGCCTGTAATTTTCATCATAGGTACACGTCAACTATGACAGACAAAATGAGAAAAAAAAATCCAGAAAATCACATTGTAGGATTTTTAATGAATTTATTTGCAAATTATGGTGGAAAATAAGTATTTGGTCAATAACAAAAGTTTCTCAATACTTTGTTATATACCCTTTGTTGGCAATGGCACAGGTCAAACGTTTTCTGTAAGTCTTCACAAGGTTTTCACACACTGTTGCTGGTATTTTGGCCCATTCCTCCATGCAGATCTCCTCTAGAGCAGTGATGTTTTGGGGCTGTCGCTGGGCAACACGGACTTTCAACTCCCTCCAAAGATTTTCTATGGGGTTGAGATCTGGAGTCTGGCTAGGCCACTCCAGGACCTTGAAATGCTTCTTACGAAGCCACTCCTTCGTTGCCCGGGCGGTGTGTTTGGGATCATTGTCATGCTGAAAGACCCAGCCACGTTTCATCTTCAATGCCCTTGCTGATGGAAGGAGGTTTTCACTCAAAATCTCACGATACATGGCCCCATTCATTCTTTCCTTTACACGGATCAGTCGTCCTGGTCCCTTTGCAGAGAAACAGCCCCAAAGCATGATGTTTCCACCCCCATGCTTCACAGTAGGTATGGTGTTCTTTGGATGTAACTCAGCATTCTTTGTCCTCCAAACACGACGAGTTGAGTTTTTACCAAAAAGTTATATTTTGGTTTCATCTGACCATATGACATTCTCCCAATCCTCTTCTGGATCATCCAAATGCACTCTAGCAAACTTCAGACGGGCCTGGACATGTACTGGCTTAAGCAGGGGGCACTGCAGGATTTGAGTCCCTGGTGGCGTAGTGTGTTACTGATGGTAGGCTTTGTTACTTTGGTCCCAGCTCTCTGCAGGTAATTCACTAGGTGCCTCCGTGTGGTTCTGGGATTTTTGCTCACTGTTCTTGTGATCATTTTGACCCCACGGGGTGAGATCTTGCGTGGAGCACCAGAACGAGGGAGATTATCAGTGGTCTTGTATGTCTTCCATTTCCTAATAATTGCTCCCACAGTTGATTTCTTCAAACCAAGCTGCTTACCTATTGCAGATTCAGTCTTCCCAGCCTGGTGCAGGTCTACAATTTTGTTTCTGGTGTCCTTTGAAAGCTCTTTCGTCTTGGCCATAGTGGAGTTTGGAGTGTGAATGTTTGAGGTTGTGGACAGGTGTCTTTTATACTGATAACAAGTTCAAACAGGTGCCATTAATACAGGTAACGAGTGGAGGACAGAGGATCCTCTTAAAGAAGAAGTTACAGGTCTGTGAGAGCCAGAAATCTTGCTTGTTTGTAGGTGACCAAATACTTATTTTCCACCATAATTTGCAAATAAATTCATAAAAAATCCTACAATGTGATTTTCTGGATATTTTTTTCCTAAATTTGTCTGTCATAGTTGACGTGTACCTATGATGAAAATTACAGGCCTCTCTCATCTTTTTAAGTGGGAAAACTTGCACAATTGGTGGCTGACTAAATACTTTTTTCCCCCACTGTACATGTTATTGATACACTATAGCAGTACTGTTTGTAGTAGCATTGTTTTGGTGTAAACATCCTATTGCAGACAAGAGATGGAGACGTAACAATCAAGCATGATTACCTGTGTAGGGAGCTGAAGGAGCATGATTACCTGTGTAGGGAGCTGAAGGAGCATGATTACCTGTGTAGGGAGCTGAAGGAGCATGATTACCTGTGTAGGGAGCTGAAGGAGCATGAAGAAGAGGAGATAGACATCCCTCCAGGTCCAGGACAGGTCTGTTACAGGGGGGTCTGTTACCTTATGAATTGAAGGCTTTTCTTTAGGCTGACTTGCAATAGAAACCCTACCCATGTTACATTACCTGTAGACCCATGGCCAGCGGTCCCATGCGTGTAGGCTTGAATGGATCAGGGACCTTCAGTTTGACCCCAACCACCCTGTTAACACAGAACTCACAGAACTCATTAGGGTGAGTGGTAACACTGTACTCAGAACATACAGTTGTATTCTATCAAAATAAACCCAATACTGTGTTGTTGATACAAAACACTCAGTAGTTGCTATGGATTCGAATCAGGAAACCGCTAGAATGCTGAAACATGAAAGCTTGCCCCGAACACTTGGTTTGAAGTGGACATTTGAAGTGAGCATCTCATATAGTTTGACCTATAGTAGGCCTGTGAGCAGAGAGACAGAGCCACGGGTCACTTCCGCCTGCATGCCCTGGAGGAGGAGTTTGACTTCACCACCAAGGAGCAGCTGGAGAAGTCCAGCCGCTTTGGTCTCCTGCAGCTGTGGAGCTCTCATGCTGTGGACGTAAGCCCCTCAAACCCCATCCCTCTCCACGACAGCGACATCACTGAACCCATGTTCGCTGTAATGCCCTTCTCATTATTAGCCTTGTTCCAGATTAGTTTGTGCTGTCTTGCCAATTCCTACGGCATGGTCATTGGCATGCCAATGTTTGGCTGTACAGCACAAACAGATCTGGCTTTATCATCCTCGTACTCTGCAATGTTTTGGCTTGGTTTCATAAATAGTTTCATAGATAGTTTCATACAGGTACATACTTTACTCTCTTCCTGCAATAATCTTGTGAGATAAGTTTTTAACAAAAGTGGACTTTGTTGCTTTGTTGTTACTCAGGATTACAGTGCATCCCCAAGTCTGTCCCTTCTGGATGAAGACCCTATCACAACGCAGAGAGCACGTTCTATCCACTACATCCAAAAGGTACTCTACTTCCTTCTTTTGATTCTTGAATACATCTCAAATTAGATAGCATCTCATCATGTATGTCTGTATTCACAGCGCACTCAAATGATCTGTTTGATATATGAACGTGCGGACGAATAGCAATACAGACATTTAGATTCAGATAGTCATGTGAGCTGTAATTGCTTTTTAGGTGCTGAATTTGGCAAGAAAAAAACGGTTGAACATCAAGAGGAAATACAAGTTATCTGATATCATCACAGAGTACCATGAGGCAGATACAGTGATGTGAGAGTCAAGAGACTCATATCCTCCTTAACACCTCTCCACATACAAATTGTGTTGCTATACAGCCCACACACAACATCATGTAAAAATGTAAGTGTTTTTAGCTCATGAGGCTTCTGCGAAATGGCTGACATGATGATACATATGTTTTGCTCTGACACGCATAGCCTCCTAGCCTGGAATCCAAACTAATATGCTTTGTTTCACCATTAAAACGAAGCATATCCATTTGGATAACTGGCTAACACGTTCCACCCCATCAGGGAGTTTGACTGGGACATGTTCAGACTGAAGCGACCTCTCCAGCCTCAGCATGTGAAGAGGAAGATCATTCCTACCTGCTCCGTCTCAGAAGGGAACCTGTGGATCCATGTTGCTGTCAACAATGCCCAGGGCCTGCCTGTTCGCCGGAAGGCCTTCCTCAAGTATTGATCCTAGTTTTACCGATCCTACTACTTTTACTACTAATAATAGTACTGCTTCTATCATAACAGCTATGGCCACTGTAGTGATAGCATAAAAACCTATGCTATTACTATTCCAAATAGCTCTGCTATCATCACTTTACAAGTACACCCAACCCAGTACTAGCTGAACATATTCGCTACATCTACAAAATTGTTGGCAACTTGCGTTAATGACCCTACATTGGCAGATACTTCAGCTTCTCATGCCTGCAGCCATCCTAATACAATTATTTCTGTACAATGCGTGATTTAATGGTCCTCTTATCAAATTCTAGCAAAGAATAAACTACTTTTTACTGAATTTCCTCTGGCTACCCCACTTGATAACCATGCTCATAGAGAACAGTCAAATATAGACACTACTTTACAGTGAGGGATAAAAGTATTTGATCCCCTGCTGATTTTGTACGTTTGCCCACTGACACAGAAATGATCAGTCTATAATTTTAAATGGTAGGTTTATTTGAACAGTGAGAGACAGAATAACAACAAAAAAATCCAGAAAAACGCATGTAAAAAATGTTATAAATTGATTTGCATTTTAATGAGGGAAATAAGTATTTGACCCCCTCTCAATCAGAAAGATTTCTGGCTCCCATGTGTTTTTTATACAGGTAATGAGCTGAGATTAGGAGCACACTCTTAAAGGGAATGCTCCTAATCTCAGCTTGTTACCTGTATATAAGACATCTGTCCACAGAAGCAATCAATCAATCAGATTCCAAACTCTCCACCATGGCCAAGACCAGAGACCTCTCCAAGGATGTCAGGGACAAGATTGTAGACCTACACAATGCTGGAATGGGCTACAAGACCATCGCCAAGCAGCTTGGTGAGAAGGTGACAACAATTGGTGCGATTATTCGCAAATGGAAGAAACACAAAAGACCTGTCAATCTCCCTCGGCCTGGGGCTCCATGCAAGATCTCACCTCGTGGAGTTGCAATGATCATGAGAACGGTGAGGAATCAGCCCAGAACTACACGGGAGGATCTTGTCAATGATCTCAAGGCAGCTGGGACCATAGTCACCAAGAAAACAATTGGTAACACACTACGCTGTGAAGGACTGAAATCCTGCAACGCCCGCAAGGTCCCCCTGCTCAAGAAAGCACATATACAGGGCCGTCTGAAGTTTGCCAATTAACATCTGAATGATTCAGAGGAGAACTGGGTGAAAGTTTTGTGGTCAGATGAGACCAAAATCGAGCTCTTTGGCATCAACTCAACTCGCCGTGTTTGGAGGAGGAGGAATGCTGCCTATGACCCCAAGAACACCATCCCCACCGTCAAACATGGAGGTGGAAACATTATGCTTTGGGGGTGTTTTTCTGCTAAGGGGACAGGACAACTTCACCGCATCAAAGGGACGATGGACGGGGCCATGTACCGTCAAATCTTGGGTGAGAACCTCCTTCCCTCAGCCAGGGCATTGAAAATGGGTCATGGATGGGTATTCCAGCATGACAATGACCCAAGGCAACAAAGGAGTGGCTCAAAAAGAAGCACATTAAAGTCCTGGAGTGGCCTAACCAGTCTCCAGACCTCAATCTGTGGAGGGAGCTGAAGGTTTGAGTTGCCAAACGTCAGCCTCGAAACCTTAATGACTTGGAGAAGATCTGCAAAGAGGAGTGGAACAAAATCCCTCCTGAGATGTGTGCAAACCTGGTGTCCAACTACAAGAAACGTCTGACCTCTGTGATTGCCACCAAGTACTAAGTCATGTTTTGCAGAGGGGTCAAATACTTATTTCCCTCATTAAAATGCAAATCAATTTATAACATTTTTGACATGTGTTTTTCTGTTATTCTGTCTCTCACTGTTCAAATAAACCTACCATTAAAATTATAGACTGATCGTGTCTTTGTCAGTGGGCAAACGTACAAAATCAGCAGGGGATCAAATACTTTTTTTCCCTCACTGTATATCTCCTTGACGACACAGGTCCGTCTGTGTGGAAGCAGATCTAAGGCGTTGTGTTTTGTGTACCTTTAGGGAGATGTACACAAGAGGCTCCTGCTATGGTCTGACTAGCAGCAGCAGACACAACATGACAAGCAGCTCGGCGAAGGCTGTTCTACAGGTAAAATGGTAGAGGTAGTACATATGGTAGTACATTGTTTGTGATAAAATATTACAGACAGACGTGATCGATCAGTGTCAACAGCATATTGTATATTGAAACAGAATTCAAATTGTATGATTGACAGTCCGATACTACCATATAACAAACATTAACAGATTTTTTTCTGAGACCTTTTTTTGCGATATAGGCCACTGACATGACATACTGTATATGACAAATGCTTATGCATTTGTCCCATGGTTGTGCCAGGCTCAGGTTCAGCCCTTCGTTGAGGTTAGGTTTCAGGACACAACATATGAGAGCTGCGTAGAGCAGGGACCCAACCCATGCTGGAGGGAAGAGTTCACCCTGGAGATGAAGTATGACACCCGCAACTGTCCTAATTCAAGTGAATACTGTACATCCTTACACATATAACAGTACTGTGTACATGCTAATAAAATGCAGTTTTAGAAATGTAAAATGTAATGTTCTTTCAGATCCTTAGGGGGTGATTATAGCCAGGCAGTCCTTTCCAAATACAAGACAACATCATCATCAACGTGTTTGATTAGATTTCCTTTTAAGTCATTGAGGTACTGTAAGCCTCTACCATAAAGGTACCATCACTGTTCAAAAGCCACTTCAAAACAAAGAGTGAACCGGAAATCAACCTTCTGTCCATCCATCTATATCCCTTCTTCACTCTCTTTTTCTTTCATCTTGCCTGTGTGAACCCCAGGAGACTTTGTGGAAGCTGAGTTTACTGTCGCACGCTAGTTTCTACAGACTGAAATCGCCAAATCTGGAGAAGAAAAATGGACTATGCAGAGCATTTTGGATAGATACTCCGGGCAATGCCTACTGTGATGGCATTGAAGCTGGGATTAACATTTGGAGCATCCACGGCAACTTGCGAGAACTCTTTTTCAACATTGAAAAACTTATTCAGTGAGCACAGACAGAGCATGTTGCACAGGAGGAAAGCGCAGCTGATTCAACTGGCATTTGAGAGGGATCTTACAAGCAAATTCCCTGGGGAGTGAAACGAGAGACAGCTGAGGAGGTTCAACACAGCATCAAGGTGGCTGCAACTCTTTTGAATCTGGGTAAGAACAGGCAGCCTGGCTGGGCTTGTATTATTTTGTTATTTGCTATCTTTTGGAAATGCGTGGCAAATGTCAGAAATAGGCGTAGACGTGATTTTCTTTATTGGCGTTGCCGCCAAGTCTACTGCTTGATTTCGGTGATGTGATTGGATTGGAAATGTTTGGTTTATAATATAATCTGATAGTTTTTAATGTTGTTTTATATGGTAGGTGCTTTGCATTACATTGATCAGGGTGGACAGACCTTGACCAATGGTTGAGTAACGATGTAGCTATAGTGTTGCCATAAACAACTCGTTGCTATGGAATACTAATTTCTATGTTATCATACGCAGCGTAGTACGGCACTCTTGTGGGAAGACAGCTTGGTAGCTGCTTCCAAGCTGCATTGTACCGATAAGTTGTGGTAGTGCATTGTACATTATTGTATGCTTTCTGCGATTGGAAATGCATTGTATTGGCATGGGGAAGTGTTATTACGGAAATTAGCAACTGTTTTGCATTGCATTGATGGGTATTGTGCATGTACAGTGTGGGAAAAAAGTATTTGATCCCCTGCTGATTTTGTACATTTGCCCACTGACAAAGACATGATCAGTCTGTAATTTTAATGGTAGGTTTATTAGAACAGTGAGAGACAGAATAACAACAACGAAAATCCAGACAAACACATGTCAAAAATGTTATAAATTGATTTGCATTTTAATGAGGGAAATAAGTATTTGACCCCTCTGCAAAACATGACTTAGTACTTGGTGGCAAAACCCAATCATAGAGGTCAGACGTTTCTTGTAGTTGGCCACCAGGTTTGCACACATCTCAGGAGGGATTTTGTTCCACTCCTCTTTGCAGATCTTCTCCAAGTCATTAA